ACCATATTTGCCAGATATTGCTCCCAGTGATTATCATCTTTTTCGGAGTTTGCAGAATTTTTTAAAAGGAAAAACTTTTGAGGATGAGAACAATGTAAAAAAGGCTATTTCTGAATATTTTGATTCAAAACCGAAATCATTTTACAAAGACGGGATTAAAAAGCTACCATCAAGATGGCAAGAAATTGTACAAAATAATGGTGAATACATTATAGATTGAAATAAAATTTAATTAAAATTTTTTGTTGCTTTTTTTGTAGATAAAAATGCGCACGAACTTATGGACTGACCTGATAAAATGTATATGTATTTAATTGTAAATATAACAAATCTAAAATAAAAAAATTTTTTAAGTGCTGAAATTACTGTTTTATGTCCATTTTGACATGCAACATGTAAAGCAGTTTGTCCTTGTCCATCTTCAACATCCACATCCTTCACATACTGTAGCATATCATGAAGTAATTCAGTTCTTCCATTTACTGCTAGCCAATGTATTGTAGTCAGTCCTTCATTGTTTCGTATATTTACATCAGCTTTATATTCTAATAATTTTGTTAAACACTTTTTTTGTCTGTAATAAAAATATACATATATTTATATTTATTATAATTAATATTTAATCAAAAAAGAATTTATTGACATAACACAACATAAATATTCTAATTAAAACTACATGAAAACTAGATGAATAATTGAAGACCTTGAACAAGAACTGGTTAATTAAATTATATAGAATAAAATTGTTTTAGTAAATTTTTTTAATAAGCAACAGATAGTTTAATATTTAACATTTCTATTTAAAAATTGTCAAAGTCAATAGTTTATAAAAAAATATTAAAATAGGTATTTACTATTAAATTACATATGCTTCATATGGCCAAATAATTAAATCAAATATAATAAAATATGTTTATGAAAACTACACACCCATTTCGTGCTGCTAAATGCAATGCAGTGCATCCAGCAATATCTTGATAATTAACATTGGCTCCTTTTCTCAAAAGAAGAACCAAACATTCATAAGCTCCACAACTAAAAATATAATTTAATTTAATCTTTAAAAATAAAGGAAATGACAATAAAACAATTCAATATGTTACTTAATGTAAGTTTATTAAATATATATTTCTAAATAATAAAAATAAATATATAAAAAGTTTTAAGTTTTTTTTATTAAAATAGCTTTATAAAATAAATATTAAATACACACTTTGCAGCTATTTGTAAAAGATTTCTTTGAGCTCTTCCAAATGGGTAATTAACATCAAAAGTTGATGCTGCTAATAGGTCAGATACAGATCTGAAATTATAAAAGATTTATAATAAATTTAATTAACAAATATTAAATTATTCAAAAATAAGACAAGTTTTAAAATAATAAATAGCCACTATTTACTTATTTATCTATATATTTTAAAAAACGTTATAAATAACATACATTTCAAGTGATTATTATTTTTATTTTTTAGAACTCTCAACAACATCTGTCTTCATCTGTTGTTTTAAATCTTTGTAATCCAGCTTTTTACCTTTCTTCTGATTTTATTTTTTAGCATTGGACCACTGATACCACATCACATCTTGATGAAAAATCACAGCTTGAAAACTTAATCAATGTCTATATCTTTGCTTTCAGGTTCTATTTGGGATCTTCCCTGTTGCACTACAAGCAAAATCACTACACTGCCTAAAAACTCAGGTATTTGTTAGTGTGAAATGGCAATGACATTCATGTCGTGTCATAGGCAGCTAGAAATATTGCAATCAAACAACATGGTTTCAAATGGCAACTCTATACATAGTCTTCAAAATGTGAATATTTTTTACACAAAACATGAGTATTTCCCCATCCTCCTTACTTACTGAATTTAACCCCTTGTAACTTCTTTTTGTTCTCCAAAATCAAATTGAAACTCAAGAGATGGCATTTCAATATAGTCAGGTATATCTAGTCTAAATCACAATAAGTGCTTCAGAATTTTTCAAACAATGACTTCCAAGAAACGCTTGAGGTTTGGCAGAAGCAATGGGATCACTGTATAAATGCAATGGAGGACTACTTCAAAGAGAATGGCAACCAGATTTATTTACTTATGTATTAAAATTATTATAGATAGAAATCCAGTATTTTTTTACTTATTAAACACTAATTTTACAGTATATTTTGAAGACACATGGCAGTTTTCATCAGTTATCTTTATTTAGTTGATAAAATAAATAGTTTCATAAAATAAAACAAAATCCAGTTTATTTTTTTTATCATATCAAATATTTGAAACATTTGAATATGAAACATTTGTTTTTTTATTATGTAAAATTTAAATTATATTTAATTTAACTTTCACATAATAAAAAAAATGTTTCATATTCCATTTACAAAAATTATAAAATTTAATATAATGCTTGAAGGAATATTCAAAATCTTAAATAATATAATTAAAATTAAGCATTCATTCCAGTATTTAGTTAGTAAAATTATAATTATTAAATAAGTTTACAATTTTCTAAAATTATATTTATTTCTTACCTATGTTGATTTCCTATGACCATTGGTATTAAAACATATGCAGCAGCATTAGGATCTAGAAAATTTATCATCAAATTATAATACAAAACATTTCTTTAAGTGTAAAAATTATCTTGAAATATATTAGTCTATATGTATATATTACATACAGTAGAACCTTACTAATTTGGATTAATTGGGAGAAAGCTTAGACTGAATTAGCAAGGTTTTCACTCAAGTGTGTATTGATGTTCATTTAAAGTACATTTTAAAGTCAAATTTTATTGTTTACTTGAACAGTATATAAGTGTTTGATAAACTTTTACAGTGCAAAAGTAGTAGTGGCATCATTCTTGTCATTGCCAACATTTACTAATTTGAGCTTAAAAAAACGTATTTTTGTTTATGATTCCTTTTCTAACTCTTCCTTGATCAAATCTTGATGCATCTGTCTAAGAGCAAGATAACAGTTGTTAAACCCCAGATTAGAATTGAAAAATTCATCATTTTAAAAAATACACAATGCAAAATTGTGTATTTTTTAAAATGCCAATGCTCTGAATTCCAAATTAACAGGTTTTACTGTATATAATGTGTGTGTGTAAGCTTTAAACTTACACACACACATTATATACAGTATATGTAAAAATATTCTTCTTACATAAATTACACAAGTTAATGATCTTTTGAACCTGTTTTATTACTAATGAAAAACTTACAGGAAAAAAACACTTGAAAATATGCATTGAAACACTTATAAAAAATTTAATTTTTCCACTTCCATATTCTACTCTAACTATTTGTGTACAAGATAGATTATTTTTAAATATATTAGGAGTAAGTGTCAAATAAATAAATCTTCAGTAAATCTTAAAATTCACCTTGCAAATAGACTTCATTATCTTGATCATTTTCTCATATAAACAAATGTTGAAATGTTTATGTTTGCTTAAAAATATCATCATATTTCTATAATCATTGAAAATGTGCTTAGTATTCTGAACAATATTTTATAGCTATTCTGTAGTAAAATGTGTTATATTAAAAATCACTATTCAAATGATACATGATTAATTATCATAAAAAACATGTTATTATATAATTATTATTAAAATGAACTACTCATTTTAATATTAAGACAAATAACAGACAAAAACAAGTTTTATCTAAAACAGATGGATCATGTATAGTTGTAACAAAATACAGAATAGGAAATTTTAAAATAAAAAAAAAATAAATTTAATTATTTTGTAGTTGCACCCCAAAAATATTCATCACAAGATAATATTAATGTAATATATATAAATCAAATTTATTTTATTTCTGTAATTACTATATATTATATAATAATTCTTTAATTTGTCATTTCTATTCTAGAAATGTCTGTATAAATTAAAAAACTTTCCACATTTTAATTTTACAGGAAAAAATATTGTAAAGCTTTTCTACAATGGATAATACTATTTTTAGGCATTGAAGATTGTACAGTACATTTACAAGTAATTCTTTTTAAATCAGTTTAATAGATAATTAATATCTTATAATAAATTTCTGAGTTTACTAATATTTTAATTAACAAAATCATTACTTAATTATAATGAATTTATTTAAAATACTATTTAAATAACTGTTTTATTACATTCAATAAGAGCATATTATATACTAATATGAACCGAATAGTGTACAAATTTAATATAAAATAATCAAATGTAGTCAGTCGAAATACTATAAATATAAAATCAGATCACAAATGATTACCTGCAGGAAGTTCTACAGCCCGAGCAAATCTTAACGACCGAGTGATTTGCTGCAGGAACTCCATTAATTCAACTGTAGGAAAAAATATTATTTTATAAATATAAATATATAATTTCCATATAATTTATAACAATAATATACGTTGTATATGTATACATAATATTACTTCGAATTAATAAGTTGAAATACCAATAAGTTTTAAAAAATGTAGTGTCTTTTAATATGGTTCACAAACTGGTGTTGTATATTGATACACAATTGTATATTGTATATTTCACAATACACAGTATCTTTTATATTGTGACGTCATAAACCGATAATATAATCAAATAAACTTTGACGTCTATTACAAGATATGCCGCCTGCAGTTTCATACATCATTAAATAACATTAAGTGACGAAGACGAGGAGAATGAGATAATTGTAAAGTAGAAAGAAATCATATACGAATACCAATCACAACGTTACCCATTTACACGATCATCGATATATCAGTGACGACTTTCCTGTGTAACTGTCCATTCGAGACGAAAAAAAGAGCTTAAATCCGGCGCCCACCTAACCGACTTCTTATGTGTTATATTCGTGCAGGCCACCTCCATAATCCACTGCGGTTCTGTTCACCAGGGATTGTGGGTCCACACTTTATATAGTTAATAAAATGAAATAAACGAAACAAATTTAATTAAGCAAATTTAAGCAATTAATTAAGTTGTGAAATTAATTGAGTAGTATTTAAAACAAAAACAAAAAAAATCGTGTAAAACAATTCTTTAAAAAAAATTGCTAAATAGGAAGGATTTGTGAAGAAAATGTTTCAAATTAAAAATATTTTTAAATTTTTATTTTACATAAAGTTTTCATATAAAAAAGGTATTTTATTGACGTTAATAAACAGAAACTTGCCGAAATGCTCGTGTTGAATAATATCAGATTGAAATTTCCCGAAAATGAAGTCTTTGTGTAGTAATAAAATCGTTTATTTTCATTTTCCATTTTAATTTGGAAATTTTTTAAAATAGAATTTATATATCGTATTAGAAAAGAGGAAATATTTGAATACATTTTTAAAAAATTTTAATGCGTTTTCTTGAGTGGAAAAGATGAGATTCTACAATTTTTTCTTATTTCTTTTCTTTTCATATTATAATTCATAGTGAATAATAAAAATCATGAAAAAATCATAGAAATGATTATTTTTATTCTATGTTTTCCATTCTAATTTGCTAACAGATCAGCGCGATCGCGGAAGAACGAGACCAAAAGCATGTGGCCCATCAGTGGCCAACGGTTCCGTTCCCTGAACACTGGAAGTTCGGTCGTGGGTTCGCGCCTTGCCCGGAAGGGCTGTCCACGTGGAGTTTTCCGGGTTTGCTCCACGTCTGTAACGCCTGAATACGGGCCAGTCATCCTTAAAAGACCACTCGGGAGTCATTATTCCCCGCATAATGACCATCATAAACGCATACTATTACATGACAATTACGTCATGTAATTGTCATGTAATAGTATAATGAGACAGGTTAGTTTTACCCTACTGATGACTAGTCGTTGCGATAGTAATCCTGCTCAGTACGAGAGGAACCGCAGGTTCGGACACTTGGTACATGTGCTTGGTCGAGCGGCCAGTGGTGCGAAGCTACCATCCGTGGGATTATGACTGAACGCCTCTAAGTCAGAATCCCCCCTAGCCGCGGCAACGATATCGTACGTGTCCTTTGCGTCGAAAGGCGTCGTTAGCCCTGACGGTAGTGTCGGTCCTCGCGGGCCGACCNTCGTATATTTACATCAGCTTTATATTCTAATAATTTTGTTAAACACTTTTTTTGTCTGTAATAAAAATATACATATATTTATATTTATTATAATTAATATTTAATCAAAAAAGAATTTATTGACATAACACAACATAAATATTCTAATTAAAACTACATGAAAACTAGATGAATAATTGAAGACCTTGAACAAGAACTGGTTAATTAAATTATATAGAATAAAATTGTTTTAGTAAATTTTTTTAATAAGCAACAGATAGTTTAATATTTAACATTTCTATTTAAAAATTGTCAAAGTCAATAGTTTATAAAAAAATATTAAAATAGGTATTTACTATTAAATTACATATGCTTCATATGGCCAAATAATTAAATCAAATATAATAAAATATGTTTATGAAAACTACACACCCATTTCGTGCTGCTAAATGCAATGCAGTGCATCCAGCAATATCTTGATAATTAACATTGGCTCCTTTTCTCAAAAGAAGAACCAAACATTCATAAGCTCCACAACTAAAAATATAATTTAATTTAATCTTTAAAAATAAAGGAAATGACAATAAAACAATTCAATATGTTACTTAATGTAAGTTTATTAAATATATATTTCTAAATAATAAAAATAAATATATAAAAAGTTTTAAGTTTTTTTTATTAAAATAGCTTTATAAAATAAATATTAAATACACACTTTGCAGCTATTTGTAAAAGATTTCTTTGAGCTCTTCCAAATGGGTAATTAACATCAAAAGTTGATGCTGCTAATAGGTCAGATACAGATCTGAAATTATAAAAGATTTATAATAAATTTAATTAACAAATATTAAATTATTCAAAAATAAGACAAGTTTTAAAATAATAAATAGCCACTATTTACTTATTTATCTATATATTTTAAAAAACGTTATAAATAACATACATTTTATTTCAAGTGATTATTATTTTCATTTTTTAGAACTCTCAACAACATCTGTCTTCATCTGTTGTTTTAAATCTTTGTAATCCAGCTTTTTACCTTTCTTCTGATTTTATTTTTTAGCATTAAACCACTGATATCACATCACACCTTGATGAAAAATCACAGCTTGAAAACTTAATCAATGTCTATATCTTTGCTTTCAGGTTCTATTTGGGATCTTCCCTGTTGCACTACAAGCAAAATCACTACACTGCCTAAAAACTCAGGTATTTGTTAGTGTGAAATGGCAATGACATTCATGTCGTGTCATAGGCAGCTAGAAATATTGCAATCAAACAACATGGTTTCAAATGGCAACTCTATACATAGTCTTCAAAATGTGAATATTTTTTACACAAAACATGAGTATTTCCCCATCCTCCTTACTTACTGAATTTAACCCCTTGTAACTTCTTTTTGTTCTCCAAAATCAAATTGAAACTCAAGAGAAGGCATTTCAATATAGTCAGGTATATCTAGTCTAAATCACAATAAGTGCTTCAGAATTTTTCAAACAATGACTTCCAAGAAACGCTTGAGGTTTGGCAGAAGCAATGGGATCACTGTATAAATGCAATGGAGGACTACTTCAAAGAGAATGGCAACCAGATTTATTTACTTATGTATTAAAATTATTATAGATAGAAATCCAGTATTTTTTTACTTATTAAACACTAATTTTACAGTATATTTTGAAGACACATGGCAGTTTTCATCAGTTATCTTTATTTAGTTGATAAAATAAATAGTTTCATAAAATAAAACAAAATCCAGTTTATTTTTTTTATCATATCAAATATTTGAAACATTTGAATATGAAACATTTGTTTTTTTATTATGTAAAATTTAAATTATATTTAATTTAACTTTCACATAATAAAAAAAATGTTTCATATTCCATTTACAAAAATTATAAAATTTAATATAATGCTTGAAGGAATATTCAAAATCTTAAATAATATAATTAAAATTAAGCATTCATTCCAGTATTTAGTTAGTAAAATTATAATTATTAAATAAGTTTACAATTTTCTAAAATTATATTTATTTCTTACCTATGTTGATTTCCTATGACCATTGGTATTAAAACATATGCAGCAGCATTAGGATCTAGAAAATTTATCATCAAATTATAATACAAAACATTTCTTTAAGTGTAAAAATTATCTTGAAATATATTAGTCTATATGTATATATTACATACAGTAGAACCTTACTAATTTGGATTAATTGGGAGAAAGCTTAGACTGAATTAGCAAGGTTTTCACTCAAGTGTGTATTGATGTTCATTTAAAGTACATTTTAAAGTCAAATTTTATTGTTTACTTGAACAGTATATAAGTGTTTGATAAACTTTTACAGTGCAAAAGTAGTAGTGGCATCATTCTTGTCATTGCCAACATTTACTAATTTGAGCTTAAAAAAACGTATTTTTGTTTATGATTCCTTTTCTAACTCTTCCTTGATCAAATCTTGATGCATCTGTCTAAGAGCAAGATAACAGTTGTTAAACCCCAGATTAGAATTGAAAAATTCATCATTTTAAAAAATACACAATGCAAAATTGTGTATTTTTTAAAATGCCAATGCTCTGAATTCCAAATTAACAGGTTTTACTGTATATAATGTGTGTGTGTAAGCTTTAAACTTACACACACACATTATATACAGTATATGTAAAAATATTCTTCTTACATAAATTACACAAGTTAATGATCTTTTGAACCTGTTTTATTACTAATGAAAAACTTACAGGAAAAAAACACTTGAAAATATGCATTGAAACACTTATAAAAAATTTAATTTTTCCACTTCCATATTCTACTCTAACTATTTGTGTACAAGATAGATTATTTTTAAATATATTAGGAGTAAGTGTCAAATAAATAAATCTTCAGTAAATCTTAAAATTCACCTTGCAAATAGACTTCATTATCTTGATCATTTTCTCATATAAACAAATGTTGAAATGTTTATGTTTGCTTAAAAATATCATCATATTTCTATAATCATTGAAAATGTGCTTAGTATTCTGAACAATATTTTATAGCTATTCTGTAGTAAAATGTGTTATATTAAAAATCACTATTCAAATGATACATGATTAATTATCATAAAAAACATGTTATTATATAATTATTATTAAAATGAACTACTCATTTTAATATTAAGACAAATAACAGACAAAAACAAGTTTTATCTAAAACAGATGGATCATGTATAGTTGTAACAAAATACAGAATAGGAAATTTTAAAATAAAAAAAAAATAAATTTAATTATTTTGTAGTTGCACCCCAAAAATATTCATCACAAGATAATATTAATGTAATATATATAAATCAAATTTATTTTATTTCTGTAATTACTATATATTATATAATAATTCTTTAATTTGTCATTTCTATTCTAGAAATGTCTGTATAAATTAAAAAACTTTCCACATTTTAATTTTACAGGAAAAAATATTGTAAAGCTTTTCTACAATGGATAATACTATTTTTAGGCATTGAAGATTGTACAGTACATTTACAAGTAATTCTTTTTAAATCAGTTTAATAGATAATTAATATCTTATAATAAATTTCTGAGTTTACTAATATTTTAATTAACAAAATCATTACTTAATTATAATGAATTTATTTAAAATACTATTTAAATAACTGTTTTATTACATTCAATAAGAGCATATTATATACTAATATGAACCGAATAGTGTACAAATTTAATATAAAATAATCAAATGTAGTCAGTCGAAATACTATAAATATAAAATCAGATCACAAATGATTACCTGCAGGAAGTTCTACAGCCCGAGCAAATCTTAACGACCGAGTGATTTGCTGCAGGAACTCCATTAATTCAACTGTAGGAAAAAATATTATTTTATAAATATAAATATATAATTTCCATATAATTTATAACAATAATATACGTTGTATATGTATACATAATATTACTTCGAATTAATAAGTTGAAATACCAATAAGTTTTAAAAAATGTAGTGTCTTTTAATATGGTTCACAAACTGGTGTTGTATATTGATACACAATTGTATATTGTATATTTCACAATACACAGTATCTTTTATATTGTGACGTCATAAACCGATAATATAATCAAATAAACTTTGACGTCTATTACAAGATATGCCGCCTGCAGTTTCATACATCATTAAATAACATTAAGTGACGAAGACGAGGAGAATGAGATAATTGTAAAGTAGAAAGAAATCATATACGAATACCAATCACAACGTTACCCATTTACACGATCATCGATATATCAGTGACGACTTTCCTGTGTAACTGTCCATTCGAGACGAAAAAAAGAGCTTAAATCCGGCGCCCACCTAACCGACTTCTTATGTGTTATATTCGTGCAGGCCACCTCCATAATCCACTGCGGTTCTGTTCACCAGGGATTGTGGGTCCACACTTTATATAGTTAATAAAATGAAATAAACGAAACAAATTTAATTAAGCAAATTTAAGCAATTAATTAAGTTGTGAAATTAATTGAGTAGTATTTAAAACAAAAACAAAAAAAATCGTGTAAAACAATTCTTTAAAAAAAATTGCTAAATAGGAAGGATTTGTGAAGAAAATGTTTCAAATTAAAAATATTTTTAAATTTTTATTTTACATAAAGTTTTCATATAAAAAAGGTATTTTATTGACGTTAATAAACAGAAACTTGCCGAAATGCTCGTGTTGAATAATATCAGATTGAAATTTCCCGAAAATGAAGTCTTTGTGTAGTAATAAAATCGTTTATTTTCATTTTCCATTTTAATTTGGAAATTTTTTAAAATAGAATTTATATATCGTATTAGAAAAGAGGAAATATTTGAATACATTTTTAAAAAATTTTAATGCGTTTTCTTGAGTGGAAAAGATGAGATTCTACAATTTTTTCTTATTTCTTTTCTTTTCATATTATAATTCATAGTGAATAATAAAAATCATGAAAAAATCATAGAAATGATTATTTTTATTCTATGTTTTCCATTCTAATTTGCTAACAGATCAGCGCGATCGCGGAAGAACGAGACCAAAAGCATGTGGCCCATCAGTGGCCAACGGTTCCGTTCCCTGAACACTGGAAGTTCGGTCGTGGGTTCGCGCCTTGCCCGGAAGGGCTGTCCACGTGGAGTTTTCCGGGTTTGCTCCACGTCTGTAACGCCTGAATACGGGCCAGTCATCCTTAAAAGACCACTCGGGAGTCATTATTCCCCGCATAATGACCATCATAAACGCATACTATTACATGACAATTACGTCATGTAATTGTCATGTAATAGTATAATGAGACAGGTTAGTTTTACCCTACTGATGACTAGTCGTTGCGATAGTAATCCTGCTCAGTACGAGAGGAACCGCAGGTTCGGACACTTGGTACATGTGCTTGGTCGAGCGGCCAGTGGTGCGAAGCTACCATCCGTGGGATTATGACTGAACGCCTCTAAGTCAGAATCCCCCCTAGCCGCGGCAACGATATCGTACGTGTCCTTTGCGTCGAAAGGCGTCGTTAACCCTGACGGTAGTGTCGGTCCTCGCGGGCCGACCGTCTCGGCGAAGAGGCCCCTAGACGGAGGAGCATCAGGACGGCGTCGAGGCGTGTACGCCGTCCGCTTCTCGTAACAGACCTTGCAGGTGTGACGTGTGGGCACCAAATCGTCCGCAGACGACCTAGGTACCGGTCGGGGTGTCGTACTTAGAAGAGCAGCCACCATACTGCGATCTATTGAGACTCAGCCTTCGACTGGGTGGTTTGTTTTTCTTTTTTTTTTTTTTTAATAGGGGCTGTATAGCCTAGAAGCTCATGCCCAACTAGCCGATAAAAGACAAGATCAAACCATGCCTAGCTGCTTGTGTCCAAAGTGATACAGATAAGAAATGCCGTGCAATATAATCATTCATTCATTTATGTATTTCTTTTATTATAACTAATATTAATAAATTTAGTTTTTTTTTTCTGAAAATAATTTAAAATACGTATTATTAGCTAAATAATGCATGGAATTTTATCTAATGTATAAATTATGTACAGTATTACATGAAGCTACCATTTAGCGTTGCATTAAGTTATATACACTTCAATGTTTTATTATATTTTTATTATTCATTTTACAATTAAAATGGAGTAAATTTTAAGCACTTTTTGGGCTGATGATGAAACATTAATGATGCTCAATAATAACGAATATTGAGTATTATTAATGTTTTAAAGCTAAATATGAATATTTTGGCACGAACCCCAGAAACTACATTCTTCAACCTTGAAACTTGTAACAAAATACAGTTAGCATTTTGAGTATGATTATTTTGTAATAATTCATTGCAGTGGCGCCCAAACTTTACAATTGGCAGACAAAACTACACATAATTCTTACGTAGGCGGGACACAAATATTCCATTTACAGTATACAAAAAGCCTATTTCTATAATTTACAAATGATGTGTCAAATATGTTCATGGACCGGATTTGTCCTTGGGACCGTACTTTTGGCACCTTCTATCTATTATAATATCTTTCTTTGTTATTATTCTAATAATTCGAACAATTATGAAATTATAATTTTCAATTATTTTTTCATATTCATTATTTCGTTTATCGAATGGGTTGAACAATAAATTGTTTTGTTCTAATATGTTATTTATTGATAGGTGATTCTGAATAATTAAAATTATATACAAATATGTATCTTTGATAATTATTAGGTTAAGACGTCAGCCTACTGCTCTGAGGCATCAGAGATCTAATCCGGACAGTCAAAAAACCATAGGAACTTTTTACGAGTGATTTGACACATGGCCGAACCGAACACATAATGATTATGATTGAAGAGGTTCTCTTAGTACCCATGGAGTAGAAAGAATAAAAAATAAATAAAACAAAAAAAATTATTAAGTAGGCTATATTTTACTTAAAAAATTAAGTTATTAAATGATCATGCTATAGGCCTATTCGTATAATTTTCGATATTACACAATAATAATTTTATATATTTACTTGATGATCGAAAAGCTTAAAGAATTAAACACATTCGGTTTTTGTTCAAAATTTGTTACCATTACTAATTTTTCAGTAACCTCTGCTGTATTCATTGGCATTTTTCTTTGTCACTTTGTTGATTAAGAGAGGAGAGGTGTAAGGAGTCAGTCCGTTCGTTATTTTATGTGAAGAAAATAACTAAAAATAACGCTTTTTGGCGTTATTTTTAGTTATTTCCTTTTTTAAGGACATACTCCTAAACCCTCTTTTGTGCAGAGTCAAAAAAGCATAGATACAAATTTTGCATCAATGACTGATACCGTGACGCAAAATAATGTAAATTAGGGCAGTGCGGAGCTGCATTGAACATCGGATAAAAGACGGCACATTCAATACAACAACGTTCTGTAGCTCCTGGCGACACGCGTCTCTGAGAAGCGATTAGAGTAAGAATCTCATCTCATATAATGCAACACTAGCTGTAACAAAGATAAAGGAAGAAATGATATGGAAGATTCGAAGAGATGTGGAATAGTTAACCGAAAGGGAGCTCAATATACATTATAGAGGAACAAGAGGGGTAGTTTGGAAGGACACCAATGGAGGGTATAACAATATGTTAGAACAACGGAAATATAAAGAAAGTGGAAGGGAAAGGTATATCATGAAGAGGTAAAGCCAGTAAAATGACGTTTTGAGTAAAGGAAGAAATCAGAAGGGTACACAAACATAGTGGACCTTAACGAGTATTAGAGGAATGGACAAACCATTCGAAGAAAGACTGATGGTAATGGTAATAAGGGTAAATGAACTCCTGATATATAAGTTTGAAGTGTATTTAAAACGGGTAAAAAGGTACATACTGAATGTGATGTATAAGTTAAAATATAATTAGATGTAGAAATAAATCTATGTAGATAATTAAGAAATTGTGAAATCCAACCACCCTGATTGTAACAGACGGAAGGCGAATGCTCATCGAAAAGTTAATGTATGTAAAGTTCTAATAATTGTATAAACATCCCCCTTGTAACAGGCTATTGCCTATTACGTTAATAAACATTCTATTCTATTCTATTCTAAACTCCTGATATATAGATGGGAGTGTTGAAGTCATGTTTTCTTCTGAAAAATCAGAAGATAAAATGGAAAGGAAATGAAAATATAGGGAAAAGGGCATAGGGATCACGGCAGCCTCACTAGGAAAATGTGAAATACCTGCCCTGAGATAGAGAGGCACAGGGGAAACTGACAGTAAAGAGTCAGTCACGAAATTGAAGAAAACAACTTTCAGATGCTGCAAGATGGAAATAAGGGAATTGGAAACCCCGGAACACGATTTGGGGGAAAACAAGGAATGGTATAAACGAGACATGCAAACTTTAATAAAAAGAATCTCATCTCATAGTGCCATATCAGGTTTTCTTGACCTCGGCCACACCCGGCGCAGATTAGTAAGTAGTTAGTCACGCCAAGATGTTACTACGGAAGGTTACTATCCAGAGTGAAACGTTTCCCGTTGCCTTCTCTGGAGCGCGATGTTACGCGAGGGAAACTAATGCCTTCCGGGAGGACTTTTATGGGGAACTGGCCTCCTATTTGGTCGTTACTGGCAAGGAGAAAACCCGGAAAATTCCAAGCAACCAGCCTGTCCGATCGCGGCGCGAACCCACGACCAAACTCCCAGTGTTTAGGGTACAAAGACCACTCGGCCACTGGTGGGCCTCTAGAGTAAGAAACGCGACCCCCCTATAACACTATTGATTTTTCCGTTTTATATGAATTCCATGTTGTACGAGTCACTTAGATTTTACAAATACGTGAGCCGTTCACAGCCCGGCACACGTATTTGTAAAATCTAAGTGACTCGTACAACATGAATTCATATAAAACGGAATAATCAACAGTGTTATAGGGGGCCGACTGTATTTCTTTTTGAGGTGGAGATTGGATTTGTTGTTATATGAAATAATAAACAATCAATCAAAGAAAGTCTTATTTGTTTTTGTTACTTGACTATTTGACAAATATACTATCTGTTGGTCGAATTAATCAATTCTTTTTTCTTATTCAATTTAATAAAAATTTTCATTGTGAACTGTTACTTATAAGTGTTTGTTGAATTATTATGTATTAAAAATGTTTATTACAAAATTTGACTTCAAAAAAATTTTTTTTTTACAAATGTTTGAGGCCCCTTGAAAGTCGAGGCCCTAAGCATAAACTTACATAGCTTTTTACTTGTAAATCCGGCCCTGATGGGACAATGTCAAAGCTGATGTTTTTTTAACACAAAGGGCACAAATATGTATAGAACGATCTCGCTCATTTGTTTCGATACAACATAATGACGTGTCCCGCTAGCAATAATTGTTCTCCTTCTATAAAATTTCTCGATAAAAGCAACAAGCAGCATAGATCATTATATCGGACAGTAATATATTATTCTCCTTCATCCCCTTTCCTATCCTATT